ACACAAGCAAGAAAAAGAGCCCCACATAATGCAGATATTCAAGACAAACGTGAAGTATACACTTTCAAAGGCCACCAGCCGTGGAGTGGTATGTCAGTAGAATATCCATATTGTACTCATTTTCGCCACTACAGAAGTTCAGAGTAATAAACTCACTCGGACATTTGCTCAAGAATATTTTGGAAAAATAGAAAAAGACTGGCCATCACAGAATGTGGAAATCAGGTGAACATCATCTTTCTCATTCAACTTTTTGAGCAAGAGCAAAGTTACACATGCAAGTATAAAAAAGTGTTGATGACTCTCCCGTGAATCACCATATTTTGAACAACGACTTAGAAATTTTGTAAAAAAAAAGCCCGCATTAGCTTTGGAGAGAAGTTGAGAACTTCTTCACAAAAGCCTTAAAAAATGTTTTTGAAGAGATCCATTTCCCCTGCTTTGCCTTACTGTTAGATTACTTTTTTTTCATCTCAGCTTAGCCAAGTTAACATTGATCAGAGTTTCCAGCTTATTGTCACTCAAATTCTGCGCAACAGATAAAATTCTGCAAACAAGTGCAAGTATTTTCATAAAATTTCAAGGAAATACCTAAAAAATCTTAGATTTAACTTTTCATAATTTTTTTCAGCAGGTAGACTCTCTCTACAACAATCTTGTCAGCAAAAATTTTCTCTGCATAATGAATCTTACATGTTCCATCAGACTCTTTATTCCCCATGTTATAGGGGTTCTCTACAACAAAATTCTCTCTGCTATTAATTTTTTTGGTACCTTGTGTTTTGTTGTATAGAGAGTCCACCCCATAATAAAATGCCAGTGCAGTGATTTTGGTTGAATCTTGAATGCACATTTTTCCCAACACTATAAAGGTGGACTCACTACAACAAAATCCATGGGACCAGAAAAATTATTTGTAGAGATAATTTCATTGTAAAGAATCCCTTTACCATGAAAAGAAAACTCTGTGGGACCAAAAAAATCAAAATCAAAATTTTTTGCTGACCAGATCGTAGTAGTAGTAGTAGAGAGACAGAGTTCGTTTGTATTCCTTAATGAGGTTGACATTCTGTGACCTGAAACCAACTTTCAGTGTGATTTCGTCTGCTTTCTTTCCGTATTTTCATTAAATTTAAAATAAAATAACCCTAACTGCAGATTTTTCCACTCTTCCTCCTTCGACGTTGATTCCACTGCTTGATCCTCGTTCTTCAGAGCACTGAAATGAAAGCAATAACTCCGCCAATAGTTGCGCCGAATATGAAGAGTATTGCGGTATTTCCCCAGCCAAGTCCACCTTGAGACACACTCTGCAAGGTTGAAAACGTACTGCCTGATGAAATGGCGCCATAATCTGATTGAAGCCCAGAAGCTACAGAGTTGGGTGATACTCCTCTACAAGTGAATCCAAGAAGACAGAGTCCAATAGGGATTGCGAGGACTGCCAGCACGCCCGATACAAGAGCAATCCCCAGCACAAATAGCACTGCGCACAAAACAACGCTCAGTTACGAGGTACAACGCTCAGTTACGATGTATCACTTTCTGAAAATGAAGCAGACACAAAAGGTTTTGTACACCAGCTTTACCCAATACTTTTGGGGCCGCAGACCTGCAAATTTCGACAAAAATTTTTGCAGACTGGCAAGTTTTCAAAAAATCTTTGTAGACAGGCAAAATTTCAGAAAACTTTTGTGAACTCAAAAAAGTTTTGTTTGAAAGAGTTTCTTGGAGGTATTTAAAAGTTTGTCATTCTTTGCACACCTTCAGTTAAGAACCGAGAATGAAGCAGTTACGCTGGAATGTCTTCAAAAATTTTGAAAGGTGGGCTCGAAGAAAGGTTTCTCAGAAAGAGAAATTACAGTAATATGATTTATTTCAGCAACTGAAAATTTGACTGAAGGTGACATTACGAGAAAAGCTAATTTTCATTATTGATCAGATAATTTCAATTGCCATTTTCTCTCAAAAATTTTGGATAAAGATAACAGACTTCATTGCTACTTTTGATAAATTATTATGCAAAAAAATTGCTTGCAGACCGGCAAAAAAAAATTCTGTGGAACAGCGGTGGTCCACAGGTCATGGGATTGAAGAACACAGCTACACATCACTCATGAGGAAATACTGGCAATGAGCAAATATTCCATTTTCGTGATGCAAGACTTATTCCAATGACCCAATGTGATCAAAACATACCCAACTTAGTTTGGTTTGATCAATAAGTAACCTCTGCAAAAAAACATCAATAATGAAACACTTAACCAACCATTGCTGAAGAATCCAGAAGTCTTCACGGGGTTGTTCCCTGATGGAATGCTCCCTGCAATATACGTGTATTCAGTATTTTTACATGATCTCAATTGAATCAATCCATCAAAATAGTATTCATACGTTTTAAAACAGAAAGATGGTCATATTTGTCATTCAGTCTCATCATTTCCATACTGTTTGATAATGGTTTGGCTCATTCAAGATAAGTCCAGGCATTTACTGAAAATACTGTATTGCTCATAGATAATGCTTTATAGTTAAGACACCAATTATTTTACAATTTCTGGTCTTACTGTATTTCAATTAATAAAACAAAGTACTGTTTATAAAGAGCATCCCTTTCTTCAGGTCTTTTTCAAGTGCTTCATCATCACATGATTTATTTCTACAAAGATTGCTGCAATATTATATGCTGTAAACTAAGATTTGTTTCTAGTGCTAAGCTCTGATATCAACACATGACATGGACTTGTTACAGGTATATAAAGTGAACCGCAATGATGACTTATTCTTATCCATGCAGCCATTTTCTCATAGGGTTCCCAACAAATATTTGTTTTAGCATACCATTGCCAGGTTGCAATCCAGTAGTAGCAACTGCAAAAGGCGCCAAATGACTGATATCAGCAGCACTGAGTGCAAATGCTGTAAACATGATCAGCAAACAACAGCATGTTTCAGCAACGGTCTTGCATTGGATTCTCGCCATCTTAGTAATCTGTGATAAATCTTGGCAAATCACAGGTCCTAAATGAAACATGGAAATACAGTAACAGTTGGTATATAATCCATATTCAGCATATACACTGGATTGGCATGCAGTTGAAAAAAACAATTATTCAACAAAAAAATTTATTGACGCAAGTAAACAATTTAGCCCTGTTTGACACATCTTTCAGAACTTTTTCAATCACCCTGGCAGCATTCTGCTTTTTACTCAAAAGAGCAGGTGCACGTCTGGCAGAATTTTGGTGCACTCCCTTCAGAATTCTTGAAATTGGCATTGCATGGATTCAAAGGGTCATCAATTCCTTACTACAAAATTTCTATCAAGACCCACCATCACAACCTCCATTTTGGGTGAGAGTATGTTTGGCTGATATTGATAATGGCAGAATTACCTTTGAAGGCCTGACGGCAACCATTTGAATTAATGCCAAGTCAATTTCTGTTCCAAGAACTCTTGTTTATCCTCCTATATAAACAGTACATATGTACATACATACATACATGTGTGCCCTGGCATATATTTATGCATGTATGTATGTATGTAGGTATATTTGTATGTATGCAACAGAAATCAGGAGACTGGGTTTACCATAGTAAAATATATGTTCTGTGGCAAATACTTTACCAATTTCACAAAAATATGGTATTTTCTGTATACTGTTGGTTCTCAGGTCAATAGAGAATTAGGCTGTAAGAAAGAAAGGCACTACATATAGACTGTACAGTTCTTCAGTGAAATAATAACAAAGAATTTATGTAAGACAACCAGGGGCATGCTTGACCACCCCAAATATGCTCATGTTCCAGCTGTAAACCAGTTCTACACACCCCATTCCCATGGTTATTGGAACGTGTTAGCGATGAGAAAAAAAATTGAAATCGGATGAAAAAAGGTGCTTCAACGAGCCTGTATTACTCCTTAGATTACTGCCTGTCCATTGTTGGAATATTCAAACACATGCGATTCGGATGCGCAGAAGAATCACGCAGAAAAGGAAGCCAGGGAAAGCAGGTATACGGTCCATGTACAGTACTTCCATGCTGCATGGGAGAAGACCCTTCATTCTGAAAGCAAAAACAAGATAGAATTGATCTAAAATCATAAAATGCAGGTCTTTTAATAAAAAGAGGACAGAGATTCCCAACTTTGAGGACTCACAGAACTCTGTCTGCCAGGGAAATTCTCAGCAAACCACAGAAAAACATGTTCTGATGGCAGCTGTGTGTGTATTGGAGGGTTCTCCCAGTTGGATTTGACCTCTATTTTCAGAGTCGGTTTGATTGTTTAAAGAAAATCGTGACATAGCCAATGATATTCTTAACCATGGTTCTAGGATTTTTGTTTATTAAAATAAATTTTCAATTTACTGCATGTTGAGAAGTGAAAACTTTCCGTTTACAGTCAGAGTTCTCCAACCATGTCACAGGGTGCTAAAAATTTGTCAACCTAGCTAAAAACTGACTTTATTGTACGTTAACCATTACATAAAATGCAGAAGGAATAATGGGTAAAAAAAATTAGTTTTCTAGCTGCCTGAACATATTGTTCACATCATGTGACATGAGGGAAAACTCTAGCTGGAGAACGGAAAAATCTCACTCATCATCAGGCAGAAAATTGAAAAACTCTTTTCATAAATTTGAAAAACAAATCCCAGTAACTTGGAATAACATTACGGGCTACGTCATGATTTTTTTGAGGCACTATCATATCTACACTCTGGAAATATCAAGGTCGCATCCAACTGGGACAACCCTTTTATCCGCTGGGATGCAAGCCCTGTACCGTTTATAGATCTACACAATTTTTTAGGAATAAGTTAACTTCAGGCGTTGAAAAAATCCATGGTTCTGCTCAGCAATAAGTTCTCAATAAAGTGATAGCCTTTTTTTTCCAACGCATGGATTATTATTCTCAGCGCTTATTTTCTTTCAACGCTTCTTTCTGCGAGTCATATACCGGCCAAAATGTCTCACCATGATCCAGCGAAGACAGGCTATTTCACAATCCTCTTGTAGACTGCTCCTGTCATTCCTGTGACAGCTCCACCAACAGCTCCAGCAGCAACGCCTATCTTAGCCATGGCAGCAGCACCGAGTCCAGCTGCGCCAACGCTTTGGCAGGCTGCAAACCAGCTGCCAGCGACAACGTTGCCGATTCCTGACTGAGTCGCAGCAGCAACTGAACCAGCTGCTACACCTGCACCTTTGAATCCCAGTGCACTGAGAACAACAGGGAGCCCGACAACAGCCACAACGCCTGTTCCAACAGCAGCACTAATGAAGGAAGCCAACCCCACTGTTGAAAAGAATATGTGGGGCAGGAGCCACCACCAAGGACAAAAATGAGGTTGAAACTCAGGAATAATGATTAATAACAAATAAAACAAAACAATCCACCGGGGAACACGGCAGGGAGCCCTTTGGTGGGGACTCCAAAGAGAGAAGTAAATGTATTTCAAACAATATATAGTCAAAAAGAATCAACACTTTTCTGACAGAAATCAGGAGCACCAAATGTGCGGAATTTTTTCCTATAAAAATAAGTAATTACTAAAAAACATTGTTGGCGCGTCTTGGGACGCACCTGCAGCTGTTCGAAAAAGACCCTTCCACAGGGCTTCAAAACAAAATTGTTGCAAACTCCACAAACCGTCGAGAATATCAAAACACAAACCCATCTCTGGGGAAACGACTTCAACTGAGAGTCAAATGACCCCNAACTACCTGTGTAAGGTTTGGGATTAGCTACCCCAGACCTTGACACCTCCTTCTCCTTCATTTTTGAATGTTTTGTATCCTTTTTTCTGACATTTATTCTTTCTCCACAACAGCATTCACCCCCAGCAACAAACACAACTGTGTCACAATCATCAAAGCCGAAGACCCATGGATAAGTACTCAACCCTTCATCCCCACCCTGGACGCAGAATCAAGATTTTCAAACCCATTGGAAAAAATTTGCGATTTCATTTTTTATTTTTTCGCATCGTCCTGAGTCACCCCTTCCGGAAAAGGGGTCCCTCAAGGACAAGGGGGGGATTTTGTGCGGAATTTTTTCCTATAAAAATAAGTAATTACTAAAAAACATTGTTGGCGCGTCTTGGGACGCACCTGCAGCTGTTCGAAAAAGACCCTTCCACAGGGCTTCAAAACAAAATTGTTGCAAACTCGACAAACCATCGAGAATATCAAAACACAAACCCATCTCTGGAAAAACGACTTCAACTGAGAGTCAAATGACCCCTCATTCCCCGCTTTCAAGGAGATTGAATATCTTGAAAGTACGCCCCAAACTTTGCCAGCTGCTGGCTCCCAGTCGTACCCGCCTGTATCCGGATACTTACTTTATTGTTGTGCTTTGCATCAACTACTGTCAAAAAACCATGTTCCCCCTGTCACTTGAACAATTTGTCTTCATTCCCAAAGACTATGCGCAGCCTTATAAAAATTACTAAAGTTGAAAAACACCCGGTTTTTGGGAAAAAATTTACATGCCAAGTGTCTCGAATTTTTCGTCTTGAAAAACACCAACACCTGGTGTTTTTCTGTGCTTCACACCCAGCTGCTGGGATACTCTGCAGGTACCATGCTGCCCCGCCCCTTTTTTCAGCATAAAAACCCCTGATTTTTGGGGTGAAAAACACAGTCCAAATTTTGCCGTCGAAGCGTTTTTGTTGCGTCGTGAATCTCGTACTTTGCGGAAAAACCTAAAAAACTCTGTGAAAACTGTTGTGAATATTTTTTACTGCGGAAACTGTTGTGCATATTTGTTGTCTTGCTTATCTATTTTTTTGTCAAAGTATTCAAACAAAGGCTTGCGCTTTTTGGGAGAGAATCCCTGGTCGGTTTGTGCACCGGCCAATTGTTGTGTTGAATTTATTTTCTTCATTTCTGACTTGTCCTCAAAAAACAATCTTATAATTCCTGACTGTTAAGTACCAAATTAAAAACTTATCAACTTAAAATATTCTAAACAGTACTTGCAAGGTGTACGGCTTGCTCCAATTTATTTCCCTTCTCACATAAAACCGTACATAAAACTGGTAGCAGAGCGTGGTTCTGCCCAAAAAATCTTTGCTTCCACTGCGCCTCTAAAAAACTTTTTAAATAAACTTGTGATTCTTTGGCTCCTGTTGAAATCTATTCCTCTTCAAATTTATTTGTGTTACATCTTTCTTACAACTAAAAAGAA